AATCTGATGAAAAACTTCTGGGTAACTGAAAATGAAATGGATTCAAGATCTGAAATGTATTACCTTGTTTCATTTTCTAGATTTTCTCTATTGTTCTTAAAGTCTATTTGATTGTTATAGAAATTTGACAGAAATATTAAAACAGATCTTGAATCATGTTGTTACTCAGAGTTTCACCCTATACAATCTTTTGTAAATTTGACATGATAATTTGTTATATTCTATAGATTACTGATAGAAGATTTATTATATTCTATAGATTAGAACATTACTGATAGAAGATTAATTATATTCTATAAATTAGAACATTACTAACAGAAGATTTCTTATATTCTATAAATTAGAACATTACTGATAGAAGATTTATTATATTCTATAAATTAGAACATTACTGATAGAAGATTTATTATATTCCATAAATTAGAACATTACTGATAGAAGATTTATTATATTCTATAAATTAGAACATTACTGATAGAAGATTTATTATATTCTATAAATTAGAACATTACTGACAGAAGATTTATTATATTCTATAAATTAGAACATTACTGACAGAAGATTTATTATTTTCTATAAATTTGAACATTACTGATAGAAGAGTTATTGTATTCTATAGATTACTGATAGGAGATTTATTATATTCTATAGATTAGAACATTACTGATAGATGATTTATTATATTCTATAGATTAGAACATTACTGACAAAAGATTTATTATATTCTATAAATTATAACATTACTGATAGAAGATTTATTATATTCTATAAATTAGAACATTACTGATTGAAGATTTATTATATTCTATAAATTAGAACATTACTGATAGAAGATTTATTATATTTTATAGATTAGAACATTACTGAGAGAAGATTTATTATATTCTATAGATTACTAATAGGAGATTTATTATATTCTATAGATTACTGAGAGAAGATTTATTATATTCTATAGATTAGAACATTACTGATAGATGATTTATTATATTCTATAAATTAGAACATTACTAATAGAAGATTTATTATATTCCATAGATTACTGATAAAAGATTTATTATATTCTATAGATTAGAACATTACTGACAGAAGATTTATTATATTCTATAGATTACTAATAGGAGATTTATTATATTCTATAGATTACTGATAGGAGATTTATTATATTCTATAGATTAGAACATTACTGACAGAAGATTAGTTATATTCTATAAATTAGAACATTACTGATAGGAGATTTATTATATTCTGTAGATAAGAACATTACTGATAGAAGATTTATTATATTCTGTAGATAAGAACATTACTGATAGAAGATTTATTATATTCTATAGATTACTGATAGGAGATTTATTATATTCTATAGATTACTGATAGGAGATTTATTATATTCTATAAATTAGAACATTACTGATAGAAGATTAATTATATTCTATAGATTAGAACATTACTGATAGAAGATTTATTATCTATAGATTAGAACATTACTGATAGAAGATTTATTATCTATAGATTAGAACATTACTGATAGAAGATTTATTATCTATAGATTAGAACATTACTGATAGAAGACATAAGTCAGGCACATGAAAGTTTACCAGATGACTTAGAGACAATTGGTAAAGATGCTGAAATATTATCTTTGATAGTAGAAAACCCTGCAGAAATTTCTGAGGAGGCAGAGGTATTTATTATTGATTATAGACCTAGAATTTAGATTTTACTATTGCTGAATGAATTGCTAGAAATGGCCTTTGATGTCTGTCTTGGCTTTCGTTTGTAAAGGGACAGGTTCAACCAATCGTAGCTTAGTCTTGGAAATGGGATTTTTGTAGCTAAGCTAATCACTTATAGTGTTCACAGCTCTTGGTCATAATTTCAAATCCATGTGTCTAGAGCTATCTGTGTTTGAAAATAT